ACCAACCCTTGTGTTTTTTTAGTTTCATTTGCCTATAAGAGTAAATCTTTAAAAAAGAATACTGTCATGAGAATTAGTCATTCAAGAACACGAAATCGACATTGTGGCTCTTCCTTAAAATCTTTTTTAGGAAATAAAAATAACGAAAAGACTTTCCTCTGCGACAGTCATTCCATGACGAGCTGTTGATATCTTAATTAGTTTTATCGGCGCATTATCACCATTCTACATGAGGCACCTATTGCGAAGTGCAAGTCACTTAAAATTCCGAGTTGTGTCACTCGCTATTCCTACATAGCTTTTTTTCTTGCCAGCCTAACTGCATCGTAATAATATCATGGAAATAATTAATAAATCGTATTGCATAACAAGGAATGAGCCATAAAGCCTAATGAACGGGTGTGTATTCCACGCTATGTATCTATCTGTTACAAGGAAAGTCCATTAGATGCACCAATTGCTCCAGAACTATGCTGCAAGTTTAAAAGGTGTTCCAGACTAAGTATCTCTTATATTATAGTCAAATTAGAAGGTTAGACTGGAACTCAGTATTTCGAAATCCTGTACTCAAGAGATATGCATAACTTACTCATAATTTAGAGGAGTTACTTAGTATATAGAACAATGAATATTATCCTAATAGAAATATGTATAGAAATCACTACTGTTTGACTGTTGCTACAATATCTACAATAAAATTCCTTATTGTATAACAATTGTTTATAAAAGGACATAACATAAAATACATTTGTTCATTTATGTAGAAAATGATGAATAATGACTATGGTATATCTTGTATAAACAAATTCTTTTAGATATATGAACAGGGAATGATAACTTGTCAATGACACATACTGTTCTTTCAATAAAATTGTTAGAGTTGAAATAAATATGAAGATGACTAATAGTATTCAAGCTCACAAGTCCATTTAACAATAGAAGTCGGGAACAGAGCAAAACAAACCTCTTAAACATCAGAGGTGGTATCAAGTGCCATGGAGGGGTAAGCATCCCCTGTCAATCGGTCACTATCCCCCCTCCCCCCGACATGATCAAGAAAAACGAAATGATCAAGAAAAACGAAAACAAATCCAGACAATTCAGTAAGTCAACAATTTCCTAACGCGTAATTTGGAAAATGTCAGTAAGCATTTATTTAACTTAATGATAGATTGTATTTTCTGACAAGATCAGTGTATCTACCATAGAACTTCCGAGATGATGACTTTTAACTAGGCTGTGGATATTTTTTTGTTTCATTAACTTTTTAATCAATAGGTCGTATCGAACGTATCGGATTAACTGAGAAATATTTACCCCATACTCAGGTAATAAGTGTATATTGCAAAATAAGTCAGGGAAGTTGACCATTGATGAGTTAAAATCATCCGTTTTATCAGTAAGCTTTGTTGTAAGGTCACAAATAACATTTTCCCTAGTAAATGATCCAAATATGAAACAGATATGTCCGTCTCTGGGATATTCTTTATTTCATGCTCACTGGGAAATATCGAGTCAACATGTGAATGAGAGTAACAATTGTTACATGTGATTGATAATATGTCGTCGATATATCTCATTGTCGAGTTGGAGGTCAAAATAAGTATTATCCATTTCTCATGTAAGTGTAAGATTTTGAATCCATGATTCCGAAAATAGGTCTGCTAATAACGGGGTACAAGTGGTGCCCATTGGAATTATGACAATAACCTACAAGACCTTAACCCACATTACGTATATATTGTCGATCAGAAACTCAAATTTTTTTAAAATCTTGATATCAACTTCAGAGTACTTGTGTATACAATCAGAACAATTTTTAAACAAAATAATTTTGCGATTGACGATAGATAAGGTTTTTCAATTTACGAAATGCATTATTATTGGAATAAGGAGCTGTCAATGACGTTAAATAAACTGGACATTAATTTTTCATAGGAAATGACTGTACCAATGAAATATGCAGAGGAATTACGAGGAGTTTTCAAGCTCAAAAGTCCATTTAAAGTTAAAAAAGAACAAGCAGAGTAAATAGGATCCACAACATCAAAAGTGGGAATAGATTCTGACTCGTCACACCCGCCATGTGCTCCTTGTCATAGTTGGAACATAATGGACAAATCCGTCGGCAATTCAGTACGTAAATAATGGCTGAACAATTAAGACAGTATTTGACTCAGTGTTAGATTAGAGAAAAGTAGTAACTTTTGATTTATATATATAGATATTTTTTGATTTATTCTAAAAGACTCATAAGAATTTTGAACATCTACATACATGTATAAGGATGTCTAACACTTCTGGTATATATACATGTAGGTTGTCTAATACTCTTGAAGTTTCTCCTTCACTGCTGTTGATATTTTTAGACTATTTAGGGAGGAGTAAAGAAAGAGGTTTGATAAAACATGTTCTGGAACCCCCTTTAATGTTTGCTTGTAAGGACTTTTAAGAAATCTAGGAATTTAATATAAGGATTTTAATAAAATTTATTTTGGTTGCTGGAGAAATTAATGATATATATTTAAAACTGATCATGACAAATGAATTTCGAATGTTACCATTCACTTTAATCACACTTTTCAATCCTACGTTTTCTATAAAATGAAAGTAATAATTACTTTTTGTAAAACATGACATATAAATATACCGTTCTTTTTGGATAAACAAGATTTAATTTAAACAATATTTTATTCACAGATGTTGTCGTGAATAGGATTGGGCAGCAGGCGCAGCCTATTTTAGCCCTCTCCCTACAAGATAAACAAGATATTGACCATGGGATTTTAAGTTCTTTGAGATATAAAATGGGAAATTATGACGATGACATTTTTATTTATGATAAAAAGAGTATTAACTGTGCATCACATGCATGCACATGTAAATATATTTCAATGTTATTTTGAATGTAAAACCGGTAAATGAATGACAGAATTTGAATATAAAAAAATTTCAAGCCCATGACAAAAATTAAGCGTTTTGAATGTAGAAATGATAAATGATAGCAAAAATATAAATGTATAGTTCTTCTGGCTTAAACATTAAATAAAAAAATGTTTTATCTGAATATATATCTATCTTTTATTTCCCAGAGTTCATTATCCTGAAAGCTAGAAATTAAGCGCAGAAAAAAATGTTTTATTTTATTTCTTAAACAATCGAACTGTTAATTAATGCTTAATGCAACTTTTAAACCCATTAATTATTTTTAAAAATTATATACTCTTATTTGTTCGTTGGGTCTTTTTTTAAAATACATACATTTATGTATTCTGCTCAAGACTAAAGTTCCTTGTATCTTGAAAGCGTTATCAACCCCAGACCTATAAATGGCATACTTTTAACATATACATTACTAAATTGAAAATGATCATTTATTAAGAAAAAAATTAAATAATAATGATCTGAAATTGCTTGTCACGTTTCCATGCAACTTTTTCTTAATTATATATAAATATTTAATGGGAGAAAATGTCAAAATTAACTTGAAATGACAAATATGCATAAATTGTTTCAATCAATTGACACTTTCATTTCACATAAATGTAAAATCTTTTAGTTTTGTTAGGATATTTAAAACTTTTCAAATTCTGAGCGACTGGTTGATACAAATTTTCAAAATATAGCATTTATGACATTTCAATGAAAAACGATGCAAAGAGAAACAGCTGGTTCACTAAAATAGGAAATATACAAAAATATCAAGATGTATCTACACGTCATATCAATTTAACTGGATACAAATAATATGAGTAGAATAACACGTATACACATATTCTTCCATTCATAAATTCTCAGTTTGAATATAACAGGCGATTTGATAAAGCAATGTTTTCTTTTTCCATAAGTGCTTGGTTTGATAAATGACTCTGCGTAAGACAAGCCTCCTTTGCATCCTCGCAAAATATTTCCAAGTTTTAACCTCAAATCTTCTTGTTTGGAGAAACAGAGACTAGCATCAAAAAGATCGTCATGCGGAGATCGGGCCTAATTGCTCGTTTGCAGGGGACGTTAGCTAACAACACAAATACCTAGAAGCTCGTATTTTTCACTCGTCGCTGTCCGATTAACATAGCAGAAGACCAAGCTGTCGGCCTGGGTACCGGTGTTTGCGGAATGTCGAATGTTTGACCGGGGGAATTCAGAGTTGCGATCAGTGCATCATTCAGATAACGGGGTGTTAAAACCTATGTCAAGTGACCTCTGAAAGGTTGTCCTGGGGTCCTCCCCATCTGTCTGGGATTATTTGAGTAATTAAAGTGTATACAACTCCGGGTACATTGACGGAGGTATGCCGCTCATGCTGGTGTTGGGGGATAAATATGACATCCAGGCATTTGTACACATGCATCTGATCTCCAAACAGGAGCTAGGCCCACATCTCTTCCAACTTGCATACGTGACAATTTTTAAAGACATATTTGTAGCAAGGCTGCTTATTTATAAAACCATACCACTTCAAATATACTCATTCATGGTTTTCTTTAATGGGTAGCAAATTGATAAGAAAATGGAAGTATGAATCATGGTAGGCATGTACATAGTCTAGTCTAAGTCTGACTTTTCTGCCCTGACTACTTTTTTCTACGGACATTCAACTCTTTATCGGGTCTCGTACATGTAATATCGTCTAATACAAGTTTATGACTGGTTAAGAGCAACACAATAATCCTTCTTGCAACAAAACTCCCTGTTTGGTTATTATTTCCATAACACCACCAGAGGCAGGGTTATTCTTAGTGTATATAAAAAATTATATGAATGAATCGAGATTGGAAACAAGTGTATTTTTTTTTTAGAATAGAACGTTAACTGTCGTAAAGTCAGGGTAGATGTAGCTTTTAGAGAAAAGAATAATTTTCAGCCATGACTAAAATGGCTTAGTATTGTTTGACTTTCTTTAAAATGATAACAGAAATATAATTTTAATGAATAACTTATTGCACTTCGTCATACTATTCTTATCTTATCAAAAGTTATCTTTTGAATTAAAGGCTTACCTGATTTGTCCAAGTAACAGTCATCTAGTTGTATGCATGTGCCTTCTCCAAAGTCACTTTATGTACCCCTTTTCCTCTAATTCTTAACAGATTTTACTCAAATTTCCATGACTTCTGTCTTGATGATCAATGATCTTTATCATTAAAATTCGTAAATTTTCGGGCAAAATCAAACATCTTTAAGGTGACATTACCACGTGTTGTGACACTTCTTAACTTTCAATCTCTTAGTTGTTTTCTGAGTTAAGTAAACTTGGACCCTTAAAGTTAAGACAGTTCACTAAGAATCTGAAACAACTTGCTTCCCATCGTGTTTGATCTTAAACTGAAGAAGGTTCTTTTTCTCAATTTTGTTCTTTGATATATGTTCACACTGCGAGGGGGTATCTCGGTCATTCGTTTCAGAAATTGGCTGGCCTCGCAAATCTTGAATTAAGTCAAATTTTCTAATAGAGATTATATAACCAGAAGAGGTGGGGGAAAGGGTGTATCTGCTCTCACGTTAAATAAATACAGCTTGTTCAATTTAGCAAATGAATTACATATTTCACTTAAATTATGATTACAAGCCGAGATATAACATCCATATTTCTTTTATTTTTCTGTCGAAAAAATGTCCATGGTGTGATTTTATAACAACATCAACTTACTGACAACAGAAAGATATATCTGCAGTATGTTAATTTTAGCAGGGATTAGTTTGATTCTTATTATGATATCGTGGAACATTTTATAAAACATTATTGGTATTCAAAAGCTGTACAAAATAATTTCATGCCAACTGCTTGTTACTCCTTACAAAAAACGTACATTAATAAATCTGTCAAGAAGGTTATAAACTTTGCAGGTCTACTGATGAAGGAATGTGTTGTACAATGTTAATTCTGTCGAAAAGTACATTGGAAATTTTCAGATCGTGCCAAATGCTCCTTATTTATGACAGAGAGAACTCAACCGAAATAACAGAAGACAAAACAGAGGTCTCGGGTTTTCTCGGAAGAAACGATAGGAAATCAAAAATGTTGTTTCATACGAAAGAAATTCAAAATATAGTTAAAGCAGCAGGTAATACTCTTTGATAAATGGGGCGGAAAAACATTGCTCTTGAAAAAAGTTTGCCGTTAGGTTCAAATTTCTCAGTTTTTTTCTGACACAATACCTCAACATAAGTCTTCATCAAGTTAAAGATACCTAAAATAACCCAATATTCTTTTAAGCAGCAGGCAATCCATGTGCTTACTAGGAAATGGTCCAATGCGGTTCCATTTTTGAGTTATCATTTCTTACAAATACATTTTTTCCCCAGAAATACATGTAGGAAGATAAGTTCAGTATGTATCTTGCTTTTAAGACACCATGGCCTAATATATAGAACTATTGCTACAGAATCGCGGAGTAGGGTGTTTTGAGCCTTGTGTTGCGGATTCGAATCCCGCAGCTGGACTTGGAGACCCTCCTTTGGATGAGACTGCATAACCGAGGTGTTTTGTCCCAGAAGATACTAGCACAACAAAGACTCTTCATTGCTCAATGACCCCGAGTGTCGAGTAAAGGTTCACATTTGCCGTCCTTCGCCTGCAAGTGGCGGCGTCTCTAAATGAGCGAAATATTCTATCGAGAGGGACGATATAACAAAATAAACAACATAAAAATACAACAATCAAACTTTGTGCGCTCTAAATGTTAATTACTCATAATAATAATATTAATGTTTGGAAGAGATCAGACTATTCAATGTGTTTACTTGTAGATGAGCAATTTTGTTTGAACACTATCCTTTTAGATAATCAAAACTAATATTTTTCTCCCCTTTTAAGTTATAGTACTGGGAACAATTGTATTCCTCAATAAGTCTTGTGTATTACAAAAGAAAACGCAAAACACGTTATAATTGTGCTATACCTGTCCACAATAAGGTTGTTTGACCGATGTCAAAGCTTGGCATTAGCGTACAAAACTACACGCCTATAACATGGTTTAAAGCAAACAAATACTGCCTAATCCTTTTTCGCCACGACTTACGTATTGATTTTCGTGACATATGGATTTTTTATTGTAAGGACATGGATATCTTATCTTTTTACTAAGTTCTTAGAAAAGCAAAAGGATACAACTGTGAAAATGCAGACAATTTTACCAAATCGACACGTTCTTTTTTTGTTTGCATATTTTGCAAATCTCTATATATATTTAAAATTTGTTTCCTTTTCCTGAAAAATAAAAAAATCATGGTTTTTTTTAAAATTGAATTTCGAATTATTCTCATAAGAAATAAAAAAGTAATAAAACTTAATTAATTGATTGTCATTTAGCGTAATTATTCATTTTTTAAAAATGTTTTCGCCGGTTTCTTCATTTGTTTTTTTGTGTCATATAGCGTCCGCGTGCGATCAGTGACAAATGAAACTGGTTTTTGTAACTGTACGACCATTTGAGAAAAAAAACGCAACACATCAATATGTTTTGAGTATATTGTATATAATCTCTAGGTGAATTTTTTAATTTTGCTAAATTTCTCCACAATAATTGTTTACAGTAATTTATATTAGTGTACAAAACTAAGCATTTAACATTGTTTAAAGCAAACAAATACTGCTTAATTTCTTCGCCACGATTAAAGCATTGATTTTTGTGAGATCAAATTTTTTATTTGTAAGGACACATTTTTATGACAAAAAAGGATTGTGTTTTCTGACCCTCTTGGCTTGTGTGTTTTTATGAATTAAACCGATTCCTTTTCCTGTGAAAAAATATGAGGATGGGCTTATAAGAAATAAAAAAGTTGAAGACAACGAATGGCCTTATCCATCTAAAACCAAAACACACAAACAATACAAATATGTGAACAAATAAGTCAAGGCATAAAACATGGAATCCTAAATATTCCAAAAGTTGGATCAAGAACCTAAGAGGAGGAAGTCCATACCCGCAGTTAGCCCTAATCATTAGTCACTTAGACGGAATAGTTAGTTTTAAATTTTTTCATAAAAACAAAGACCTTACAATTGATATTAAAACGGCAAACAATATTAAAAGCCAATGATACATATAGGTTATCTTAACTAACTTGATCTTTGCAACAATCATAGGATTTTCAAAATGCTAACTTTAAACGGGGTTGTTAAAATTCCTGATACATCAACTATTCTCTCAGTAGCCAGTCTCGGTTAAGATATTGACCATGCTCTTAGGTGTCGAATGGGGGGGAGGGGGGTACATAAACCACAAATGCAGGTGAAAGTGAAATATTACTACATTTATATGGAAATTTGAAGATGGAAAGACAGAACAACATGTAAGCATGAGACAGATGTGGCAAATTCTGTAGTGTCTCGAATTTTGAGTTCATTGGGTTATATCGAGTCAACCTATGTGAGGATATGTTTATTGTTTATAAACGTCGTCAAGTTGTGGTTATAGCATGTGCTTCTGATGTAAAAGTGTTTTGAAAAAAAAAATGTTTCATAGAAATAATAAAAAGGGGCAAACCAGTGTGTCGGTCAATTAAAACCTTTCTAACCTGTATATATGGAGTTTATGGCTCTTGTTTGATTAGATCAAACAAGAACATACTAAAGCAAGTTAAGCTATTGACAAACAAATTGATAAAACAAGAAAATCAACATTCTCGTAAAAAAAAATTCAAAGTTTAGCAAATTACATGTTCGATTTTATGGCCTTGTCAACAAAAGACATTTGAAGCAAATTGCTTCATGTAATTATCTATACACTGAATTCTCTATGGATTTTCCGTTTGCCAAGGAGACACTCGGCGGCTTTAACCGATCGACAAGAGGTGCTTACTCCTCGATTTCGCCTGATCCTCACCCTGCTGTATTATGAAGTTGGTGTTTGATTTTCTCATATATGTGTTGTTTCAGTGGACTTTTCAGCTTGATCACTTTTTCTAATCATCATATCATTTGACTCCAAATTCGGGTCTAAATGTTGTAAATAATGAACGAAGAAGAGTAACTCGGTTTAAACATTTATAACATATTAAATTAAAAGCCATGATTAAGGTTAGGACACGTAATGGAATGAATAGATCGGTAAATATGTTTTGGTTGTATATATCAACAAAAATATTAAGAAAATGAAAACTCCTGGGATGTAAAATATTTTCTCTTTTTTTCCAGCCACTTGCGGTAATATATGAAAATATTGAGAAAGTTTGAATGAAAATAATACTTTTTAACGAGTTATTGTAATTACTTACGAAACATAATTAGTTGGCCGTTATTTTCTTAATTTTGAAAAAAATAGTTTGTATTATCTGTCCTTAAGCTTGACAACTAAAACACCATCAGCTTCTTGGAAGCAATGTCGTATATAATGGGTACTTCATGTATTCCTTTTATGAAAACGATTGAAGAATAAAGACACTTCAAACACATCAATAATATCAAAAATTGCAGATAAGTGTAGTTTTTTTTAGTAAAGTAAGAACATAAAATACAATTTCAAGGCAAAAGAGAAGTTGGCTACATTACATTCAAGGCAAATGAGAAGTTGGCTAAACTACATGTAATTTAATAAAAAGTTCACCTACCCCTGACTTTTATGGGTATGAAATATTCAATTACTAGTAACAAGATGAAATAAACACCATTCATTTGTTATGTGTTTCTTTCAGGTCTGAATCTGATAAATAAAAAAAAAAAGTAATATATTTTATATCTATCGAATCAACGACAAAAACTTTCTCTCTGGCTAAAGATTGTCAAATTTTATTTCCTGGAATTTAACGTAAAATTGTTGATAAAAGATGAAGAAAAATGCAAATCACTAGTTTTGATATCTAAACGACGAAAAAAAGGATATACGTTGGCATCTGATAACTTAAAATTTGAAAGCCTTCCATTAATCATTCTTGTCAGTCAAATTGCAAATATCTGTATTTTAAAATCGTCATGGAATAATGCTACTTCTATTGCATTTTAGCGCTTTATTGAAGCCATTTATCTCGAAAATATTTTGAGCGGGGGTTTACTGGGGGGATTTGGTAAATACGTTTGTGGGGTTCGTGTGCTTATTGATGAAATCGTATTAACCTTTCCGATTTCCCCCCTACATATTCTTCTATATACCAATAAGAAGAATCGATCCTCCCTGGTCTTCAGGTAATCGCTGAACCGAACAAGATGAAGTTGGATATCAGTTTATCAATCTACTTTGGAATTCATTTTGGAGCTCTTTCCTTGTATTATTTGCCGCAGTTATTGTAATTAGTAGTATAAACTTTATCGCCGAGGAAATCTCAACTTGTGGCATAAAAAGGGGATGTAGAATAC